AAACTACATGAACTTGTGTTAATGTGTCTGACATTGTTCCTCTATAGGAAGATCTTTCTAAAGTCACCCCGACCGGTATCCTTTTATTGATCTTACCAGGGCATTGTTTTCCACCCCAATACATTTTTGACATCAACAGCAGTTTGCTCTCACTTGGCAGCCAGTGATTTACCCTTACAGTCTTGCCTCCAAGATATGTCAGTTCTCTAACATTTGTCATCATCTGTTAGGGTGGGATTTAAACAGGTGTCTTAAACCTAACTCAGATATTGAAAGTACTCCTTGTATTGATGGCCTACTGATCAGAGGTGACTCTGAAGCGATTGTTTCTGAAGCTCAGACTTTCCACACTGAATTTATAACTGAGAGGCAGTGTGCTATTAAGCATGGAAAAGCTCAGGAGCCCTTTCTCAGACAGAAACCTTTCTGGAAGTGTAAGTCTGGGGTAACCAGAGAAATTCTACAGGCAAAGGCTTTTGTCCACCCATGAAGTCCCTGCCCCTAAACAGAGGCACAGAAATTAATTTTTAGGTGTAATCCTCAAGATAGTGTGTCACATATCTGGGTATTAAGCCACAGCCACTTCATCAAGTCACTAGAGAAGCACTGGAATTTGTATGAAGTCACTCCCCTCTCACGAGGGTAAAGGATGTTCTTGTAGCAGCTGATTCTTTCACAGGTTACTGGCACCCACTGGCAGTTGGCCTTCACAGGGCCTACTTCTTCCATGGAGTTCCTAAGGGCAGAATTCCCCAGAGGAGGGCACTTTGGAAAGGCCCAGCCCAGGCCTCCTCCTTAGCTGCTCTTCCCTCACGTGCCTGGGAGCCATTTGTTGCCTCTTCACAGCCACCTGGGCATCAGGGAAGGGAGAGGCAGAAGCCACCTTTCTCCCTGCCTTTCTGAAATCTGAGTGCCCATTTCAATTATTGTGCTGGTGGCCGCAGCACCCAGGTAAATTCTTTGCAAGCTGAGCGTTCCTATTGAGGACAGCCTGTAACACTACAAACGACAGGTGTTTAAAACATGCTGCAGTAGTTAATTCAAGAGGTGGAACAGGCAAAGCTCACTGAACTCTGAGATCTGGGGCCTCCTCTGATATCTTTCTGTTCAGTTTATAAATATTTATGGAGCTCCATTGGCTGGGCATCTTCTACATGCTCCATCCACCCTGCTCTGTACCCAAGTAAGCTGAGCTAATGGTTGGGTTCAGCCAAAGAGAGGCACTCACAAGATACAGAGGGGCAAGAGGAGAGTGAGGTCAAGGTGTCTATTCTCCCCACTCCTGCCACTTCACCTTAGGTTGCCTGCTTCCCTCCACAAAGGCTACAACTCCTGCCAGGTTTCTCCTCCCCTGAGCCTTCAGGCCCAAGGTTCTGCACCAAACCTTGTTGCTTTTGCTTTTCAACCTTGCCCATGCCTTTGCTAACAGTTCCTTTTGCCAGTCTTCTCAAATGACCCAGTTTGAAAGTGCCCCTTATTTCTTGCCAGAACTCTGACGAAACTCAACACTGACACTGTGGTGACCAGATTTGTGAGTTGAGGACTGACTGAGCACTTGCTATAGGTGTATCAGTGTGGTGTGTTTACATATGTTATCCCACGGAATCGTCACAATAAGCCTTTACAGATAAGGAAACTGGGTTCAGAGGCTTCATCACGTACCTTGCTAAGGATCACCATGCTATTAAGGAGCAGGGTCAGACTGGAAGCCAGGCAGGTCTCACTCCATAAACATCTACAGGTTTCCCCCCCCTATCCACAAGTAGATCGTTCCTATGAAACCTTTCCTAAGCCAAAGTGGTGTAAAGTGAAGAACTAATACCATTAATTCATATGGGAATAAGTTTGACCATTTCCAAATCCCCAAAAATAATCTACAAAATCATACCAAATAACACATAAAACCTAAAAATCACTAACACATAGTGAAAACAGAAATGATACGATACACAGCTTATATACAGTAGAAATAATGTAAGTGCAGTTTCACTTACCAGAACTGGAAAGATACCCAGCACACTGGAAGGCTGAGAGGTCGTGGTGGTGTGGATCGTGTGTGGGGCTGAGGTGTCTGAGGCTGGGGTGGTGGGAGGTACAGGTGGCTGGGGTGGAAGAGACAGAGACAGAGGGTCTTCCATTAACATCCCATCATTGTCTGAATCCATCGGGGCAGGCAGGTCCCTAACGGCTACACCTTCCTCTGTGTCTGCCTGCTCTGATGTTGCAGGTCGGTGGAGGTTCGTCTTTTGCTGTGACTTTTGGGGAAGGCTTGAAATAGGACAGAACGGTTGACCGCTTAGAGTCTATATGGGCTCACTGGAAAACAAACGCTGAACGCTATTTTCACTTTTTCCGTAAAAGCAAAAATCCTCTTCGGATTTCTTTCGGTTAGCGAAAACAGGCAGTAATGTAGATCTTTCGGAAAAGCGAAGTGGAGAAAAGCGAACTTGCAGGTAAGCACGAGGAACCTGAACCTCCTCTGCAAGACGCTCTAGGTACACTTAGCTCTGAGAGAAAGGCTTGTAAAGGACAGGGCGATAAGGGAGGGATTAGGACTCCGTTTTTCCACTGATCACCTGAATTACAATTACCTGGGATGATTTTTAAATATCCAGATTCTTGGAACTGCCAGCATCTTTCTCCAACCATTAGCTCTCAGTAGTCTTTGCACCTATATTTCGACACTCTGCACATTGGACTGCAGGATTAGTGATTAACTCCCATGTTTGCAGATACTTTCTTCCATTCAGGCTCTAGTGGATTGGCTCAAATTCTAGGGAACTTCACATAGCAGTTTAGAGAGTGTCCCCATGCCCGCCCAACGGGAGTAACGCAAAGATTCCGACTGCGCCTGCTTCCCAGGGAGGTGGAGAGACGCCAGGCCGCCCCTTTTCCGCCAAGATTGAGATGGTGGCGACGGTGACCCTGGAGCCCGCAGGCCGCTGCCGCTGGGACGAGCCCGTGCGCATCGCCGTGCGCGGCCTGGCCCCGGGGCAGCCGGTCACGCTGCGCGCGTCCCTGCGCGACGACAAGGGCGCGCTCTTCCGGGCCCACGC